GAAAGAATATAAAAGAAGTGGAGGATTTGATCAAAAATGCTAATTAAAGGCAGCGAGCAGTTTCCTGCTCCTGCCTCTGATATTTCATTTGGCATCTCAGTTGCAGAGCCCTAATACGAGGTGGAATATCAGCTTCCTCGCTCAACCGTGTTTTTTTGGAAGGTTGCATCCTTTGTCTTCATTGTAGGGATTCCCTGGGTCATTTTTTATTGTTAACTCTTAGGATAGATTCTCCCTTCCACCTGCAGTAATGAAGGAGAAATAGGACGATGGTTCCGCAGTGGGGTAGTATGGCAGTGGGGCTCTACCAGAGCGCCAGCTGGCAGACAGGGTAGGAGTCCCCTTTATTCCACTCATACCTGATTTAGTACAGTTTGTCGGTCTGTGCTCAGTAACTTGAGTATTACTTGACAGTAATTAGATACAGAATATTGTAATTCAGAACTAAGGCTGCTCTGGCACTGAAGGCATTATTACTGCTTGCTACAGGAAAAAACCCCACACGTGAGTGCTAAGGTACCTTACCACATCACGCTCCTCTGTTGCGCAAGTATTTTAGCCACTTCTTTTCTCCTGCTTGGCTACCTTGGATCTTACTCCAGGTAGAAGTATAGGTGTGGAAAATCTTTACTTGCACATATTCCCCTTGGCAGTATGTTTCTAGCTACTAGATCACTGAGACATCAGACCTGCCTTCGTGGTATCTCTTCATGTTGACATCTTTACTTCTTCAGGACTTTTATGAAACGTCCCACTGAAGTGGTGTTTAACTTCTTTGCTCTAGGGCTGGTTTCACTTACTGAGTCAGCTGGTCCTTAACTACCTGAGTGCTTTGGGGTTTGGTTTGTTGTTGGGGTTTTTTTTTTCAGATTAGTCACTCATCCTCAGCACATGCCCTTGAGTAACTTCTCTGTTTCTTTGCTGATCAGTGACTTCATCCTTGTTCTTTAGGAATGTACAGTCAGTGCCAAGTCAACATTTATCTGTCCAAGTTTCTTAATAGTGGCAGCTTGTAATCAAAGACAGACAGCAGACTGTCCCACTGCAAATAACATCTTGAGATAGGCCTTTTCCAAACGTGGACATTTAAAGCACAGTTTACAGTAGTCTTAACACACAAGTTTTCAGAGCCTGGCCAGTTAGCATACCCAGAGCAGACGATTTTTTGTGTTGTCTGGGTGTGTCATTCTTTCATTCTTAGAAACTTCCTGTCCCCAGGATCTAGTGATAGCACTGGTTTGGGCTTAACTGTCTGGCATCCTCCGTCCTATTCCCATTGCTAGTGAGCTGTTGAATTTCATATCTTGTGTACCCAGATTTGAAAGAAACTGCAAATATTTGCAAATGTATGGGACAGATGAGCCACAAAGGAAGGTGGAAAAGGGTATACTTTTTGCTAAATGCATTAATTTTTTGAGGATTTTTTTTTTTCTTACTGTGAGTGTTTCCTATTGCTTTTTCTTTGGGTAATGTATATATATTTTTTTCCCTTAGGCTGTTGAAGATTCTGAGCAAGAAAACAATAAAAAGGTGACACATAGGATGTTATGTAGTTTGTTTTATTGCTTTATATATAACACATATTACTTACCATGCGTTCTTAGTGGTTTAACAATTTTATGCACAGTTTCACTGCACCTACAGAGTATTTTTGAAAGTGACTCTACCTCCTTTTCTCCTCTAGGGTTTCTTCTGCTGTACTTTTATACTGGGGTTAGGGCTGTCAGAAAATTTGGGGACAGACAGGAGTGCATGACTTTTGCCTCCTTAGAAGTGTCTGATCTCAGTCTCCAATGCGAGGCACTGGGAAACAGCAGTTCTTTGAATGGTGTTAAGATGTATCATCCCTGCTTCTTTTTTTTTCCCTCTTCCCTTACCCTGACTGCACTTTGTTTTCCTCTCTCTTTTTCCTCCTTTTGCTTTCCCTTGGGACTTCTGCATTTATCTTCTCTCAGGAATCCCTTCTGTAAGACTCTTCCCACCTCCTTCCACTCTTCGTCTTCCTTCTCTTCTCTTCTCTCATTAAAGCTGCTCCTGTTCCTAACCACACTTTGTTTCAGTCTGTGTTGTTTTCTAAGTGGGTTCTGCTTCTTTTCTTGAGGGGTGGGGAGGTATAAATAACCTAGAGAGATCAACTTTCCCCCTTTGTTTTCTCTAGCCCTTAAAAGGGTCGTGTGCTGTTGTAACCATTCCTTTGTTTCTCTAGGCTTTAAGAAACATTCCAGCCTTACCCCTTTCTAATTCATAGTTTTAAAGTTGTGAACGCTGCAAAGAGTAGAGCCTATTTATTCTAAAAAAATATGGGTCTGCAGGTAAAGAAGATAAAATCCATGACGTGTAGATTGTCTTAGAGCTAGTATGTCAGTAATGCAGTCATACAGCTATGGTCTGCAGGGTACTATTGCCTTGGCACTAAGGCACAGATAATCCCCTTTGCCTTCCTTTTCACTGAGATTCATTACTTAGACATTTATGGACCAAGATAGTAAAATACGATTAACAATTCTGAGCGTTCCACAAGAGGCACATTGAAGGAGCCTGGTTTTTAGAAGATGAGGGGTCAGTTCTCCCTGAATTATTGGTCTTCCCAAAATGAAGACACTGAAAAGGACTAGGTCCTTTGAAGAAATGTAGCCTTAATTTGATCTAAACTCTATTAACAAATATTGACCTAGTAACAAACAAATGCCTGTATTCTACTAATAAAGGGATGTACCATTTGGCATATTTAGGGAACAGATCTATGAACCCCCAGTATGTGGATTCCTGAAAAGCAGTTGTGTTGAGCCCTGGTGATCAGCATTAAAATTTCATGGACCACTGGAAGGTTCATTCAGTCTAAACCGCACATAAAACCATGTGCACCTGGACTCGTTCTGATAACTCAGCTATTTCATGCAGTCAGAAAACGATGTTCCTTGTGACTATAATCATCTTATGTCAAGGCATACATTGTTTCACTTCACATGGAATTCATTTTTTGAAATGTGTCCACACTATATGGGAGGTAGAGGTACATGCCCACAATACTGGCAAGTAGTTTCACGTTTCCTTTCCTCTCCCATGTCCTGAGTAAATGAGCTGCAGTAGTGTAGGTGCTGTGTACTGCATTTGTCTTCCATGCTTTAATGCTGAGGCTGTTAGACATGCTGAGACTTACTGCCTGAGAAAGGACTTTGCAGTGCTTCCGGTTACCCCGATAGAAAAATGGAGGAGAACTTTCTGACAAACACGGGTTGCATTCTGAAAATAAAAAGCTGTACTGTAAGAATTTTGGAATATACTTAGTACTTCCTTGCAGAAGTTCACTGTCAGCCTACAGTAGGTTAGATTTTATTATTTTTTTTTGGTAACTGGTTCACTGATAGGAGAACAAGCAAAAATATTTGTCAGAAAAATGCCGTGAACAGTAAGCCTTGCGGAGTTTGCTTAGATTGACAGAGGTCTTTCTTTCTTTTCTTTCTCTCAGTGAAAAGAATGTGTTTCGAACTGGTTTAGGGAAGGGAGAAAGTTGGACAGGTAGATCCACCTGAGAAGTGCTTCTTGTTGTGGGTTTCTAGCAGATGAGATAGTTGTAGAAAACTTTTGCAGTTCTGTTATAAATATAATGTATCTTTATGTGAACGATAGATTCAGATTTTTATCATTTTAAGTATCCAGGAATATGAGCTTGGTACTTTGTCTGTTGTTGGTCTTGTGATGTCTGCCTGTCCAGTGAAGGCTGTAAACCCTATATTTTGGTCTACTTTTATTAGTGAAGTTTAGCAGTTGAACCTGTTGTGTTTTGATGTTGAGAAAGTTCTACTCGGTACCAAGTAGGCATTACCCCACCGCAGTTGCTATGAGAAAATTTGTATTAAATCACAATTAATTAGAAGTTTATTTGGCAAAGATAGATCATTATCTCCCACCATTCTTCAGTTTGTTGAAATATTTATCTTTTATCCCGAAGTTATCCCACTAACATTATGTAATATTTACGCACTGCTTAGGAGCTTTTCTGTCATCAGTCCTCTTGCATGCATCCTGTAACATTGAGAGTGTTTGGTGCCTATACCAGTAAGAAAATAAGTCTTAATTTGTGACATTAAATTTCCACTTTTATTAATTTGCACTTTCTTTAACTTTCTTCAGATTTGGGTGTAATTGTGTATCACATTTGAAAATTCCAACAATAGTGTTTGCACACACAAATAGTGATTATTCTTTTTAATGTCTGTTTTCAGGGTTTAGTAACTGTTGAAGATGAACAAGCATGGATGGCATCTTACAAATATGTAGGTGCCACAACCAATATACATCCATATTTATCAACAATGGTCAACTATGCTCAACCTGTAAAATTTCAAGGTTTCGATGTAGCAGAAGGTAACATAAAAGGTTGAATGGAATAAAAGTATTTGTCTGCTTATTCTAGGTAGTTTTTTTTAATCTCTACATTTCCTGAGTTTAGAAGTGGTGTAAGACTTTTATAGTTTAATGACCATCATCGGTATATTTTTAGATCTGTTTCCTTGGATGTAAAGTTAGCATGTTATTCCGTTGGTCATCCACACGGAGTCACTAAATTACTGGGAGAATACGAAGCTGTTGAGGTTGATTCTATTCTATACGCCTTTCCATTTAAACTGCCTTTTTTAGTTCATCTTTCTGTAAAGTAAGGTTAGCGTGATCGTCACAGTGGTCAGCAGTTAGCTGATGCTTTCATATTGCACACTAGACCGTTTATCATGTTGTTTTGCCTTATCTAGCCATACAACACAGACTTTAAATGACAATTTTGTCAAAAAAAAAAAAAAAAAGTTTTGTTGATTTCCCAGGAAGTGAAAGAAAAAGGAAAGTCAGAAATATTATGAAATTTCTCTTTGGTATAATTTGATTCTATGAGTGACAGATGATGGAGAAACAGACCAGAATTTGCTATATGCCGCTATTGCGTATAGTGCATGATTTTGAATTTCGATTTGTCATTACAGAAGTATTTTAAAATGTCTTGTCTTTTCTTTCTAGAACGTAATATTCATCATAATATGTCCTCTTTCAATGAATCAGTCGGACTAGGGTATTTGAAGACCCATGCTATTGAGTTTGTGAAGTATCCTTTCACCTCCTCATACCACTTCTCTACTAATGCTACAGATAAACAATAAGCGTACCTTTCTAGATTTAGTGTTCCACGTCTGTAAAGGAATAGGGAAAGTAGGTCATAGGATGAGAAACAGTAAGATTAACGTAAGAAATATTGAAGATACCAGGAGATGACCATCCATTTCTATGATGTTTTTATCTCATTTTCCTTGATGAATTATACAGTTATAATAAACGACAAATGAGTCGGATATACCCAAAGGGAGGCCGAGTGGATTCCAGTAATTACATGCCTCAGATTTTCTGGAACGCTGGCTGCCAGATGGTCTCACTGAACTATCAGACCCCAGGTAGGCAGCAACGACCAGTGAACCTCAATCCTAAAGAATGGCTTGGGCAGGAACTCTCAAACAGATGCCATGGATTTGCTTCTGGCATTTTTTGAGGAAACAGACATATGGCTAAATAATACGGTGGGGTGGAATTATGGAAGCGTAAGAAAAGAAGCAATAAAAACACCGTACATAGAAGGAAAATTCAGTCCCCTTTCATGGAAAAATAATAGACTGTTGTAACTTTTCACATAAATGATAATGTTTTATTAATAAAAAGTATTAATTACAGGGAAATCACTGTTTTCACAAAACACAGCTTGGCACAGTTGGGTGCGTGTCTGCAAAGTAAAGATGGAGTGTACAAATTAAGATGGTAAAAAGTAATGACTGTGTGCCAAATGCATTTCTAGACCAGTTATTGTGAAGTGTTAAAAAGTCGTGTTCAGCATCAGAGAATGGGGTCTGAGATCCCAGCTGAGAGAATGATGGCAGGGAATGTAAATGCTTCTCCACAGCGGAAACTGGGAGGAGATGTATTGTTCCTGTTCAGTGAAGGTGTGAGTATAACAGGCTAGGGGTTTTTAGTTTATTTTGGTTCTTTTTAATTAATCGAGGAATGTCTTCAGTCATATATGTAACAGACCGGTTTTTCCAGTTGCTTTTTCTAGCTGCGATAGTGCTTTTGTGCTTCCTTTTTTTTTTTTTTTTTTTTTTACACACTCATGCACACACCCCACCCCACCCCCAAAAGTTGTCTTTGGTACTGCAGACACTCCTAATGGTAATTCCCCGAGTTCTGTCCTGCAAAGCTTGGCACTGATTTCACTAGCTGAGGAAGCAAGAGAAGACTGTGCTGGAATACACCGCTTGTAAAGCACTCCACTGGACGCGATACGGAGGTTGGAGCAGATATGCAAGCTTCAGTCTTCTCCCAGCACTGCTTCTGCCCACTGCGTGTCGTTCTCAGCCCCTTTATATTGCAAAATGAGAGTGGTAATTGTATAATCAAAGTGAGCAACTCTCCTGTGTTAGTCCTCTATGATCCAACTGTGGTGTCAGGCTGAAGAATAATTGAGGAAATATAAGTTAAGGCTGTCCACTAAAGCAAATAATAAGGAGCATATGAGAATCTTATATTTTGTGTAACGGAGAACATACAGAAAAGATTTTGTTCCTTTTTGAAGGTAGAGTCTGTTGGGCAAGAAAATACCTGTGTTGCCGCTAAACAAGAATATTGTGTTCTAGTGTAATTGGAAACCTGCAGGAAAACATTTTATTTTTTAGAAAGTTTGGGAGAGGTTTTGGTGGGAGGGGGCTTATTATGTGTTTACAATCTGTCTTTATATACAAGTGCCGTAATAAGGCATTTGAGTAAAGCTCAGATGCTTTAGATGTTGAAACTAGGCAATGCTGCTGTGATCTTTGTGGTTGCTTTTTTGTGGTATTTTATTCAGTTAAGCCCATAGAAAACCAGTGTGATATCTCACCTTCTTTAAGACATCAGAATACAGACAGCTTCATCGGAAGTAGTTGTCTATGGTCATTGTAGAGAAATACGTACTTCTAGGATGTCTCATCAAGTATGTTTTATGTGTCTGCCTTAGACTAAGATTAATTGCACTGTTTAAGTGCTTGTATCCCTCCGTTACTCAGAGTGATTCTAGCTCACTAGCAGAAATGGAGACACCTATAGTGTAGATACCAAATTGAGATGATGGAAATCCCATCCCAGGCACTTCACACGACCACAGTCTGATGCTTCTCTGCCTGCCAAGTGTGTTTGAATTCAGGGAGAGACTGTTTTCTAAGCACAGTGTAGACTTCAGCTGGGTTAATAAAGCTGTTAATACTGTGAAGAAATCTGAAGTTTTCCTATTGCTTCCTTTTATTTCTTAATGTGTCTGGTTTATCTGCATTAAATTTAATTTTTATTTAAACTGATTATTCTGGACAAACAATCTTATTTTCTTTTCTAAAAAGCATTGTTCATGATCTGCATTAATCAGAAGGAAAGTAATTTTTTTCTCTCATGACAGATTTAGCAATGCAGTTGAATCAAGGAAAATTTGAATATAATGGATCATGCGGGTGAGTGATATGATTTAAAATGTTGTCACTGTCTATCAGAATCCTTTACTATGGTTTTAATAAAATTTTGTCACTATTAATTATGTGTTACAGAAGAAAAATGGGATGCTAGGTGAAGAGTAGAAATTAGCAGAATTCAGGGAGAATTATCCCCTGCGAGGAGGTATTCTGATGAATATGCTTTTTAATTATGCCCAATTTTTAAAGATGAGCTAGAAGGGGATTTGTGTGCAAATTATGAAGATGATCATGGATACCATACACAGTTATTTAAATACATCTTCATCTTCTGTTCACAATCTTTCTTTGAAGATACGCCTCAGAGTGGAGATTCATTGCACAGTTCACAGAATTGCCAAATTTACTTGGACAAGTTGAGCCTTAATACGTAGGGAACATTTTTTTAATCTGTGTACTTTACTTGTAGAGCAGATTTCACAGATCATCCTGAAGTGTTTCATCTCTCTAAGTTCTTACCCATGACTTTTGCATGAAAAAGGATGCTCAAGTGATGTTGACAGATTTTTCTCAAATGTTGAGTTTATACCTTAATAGGATAGGCTGATCGTTAACATCACAAGAAAGGAGAATTTTGATGAATTATAGGAAATGACAGTCCAGAATCACATTAAAATCTGCAAACTCATCCTGGGGAAAAAAAAATGCAAATCTTATTCAGAAAGAAAATCTGAGATGATGAAGCTTGGTAAAATTCCTCATCTGGAGAATAGGCAACATAGTGTTTTGCCACTCCGTGCCTTGATTTCAGTTCTGAACTCTTCAGAGAGAGGCTGTTGGGTTTGACAGAAGTGCAGTCTCTGGTCGTTTCAGTCAGAATAGCAAAACCAGAAGAAAACCAAAGGTTTGGGTTTTTTTATGTCAGAGTATGATTCCTTCCTTATTTGACCCACAAGTCTAGTGAAAGAGCACATATTCACTATTGCCAAATGCTCTGAAGGACAGGCGTCATTATTGACTAAATTACTTGATCCTTATGTCAGTCTTCTGGTATTACAGTAATATAGTGGTATATTTGTATATGCATTATAAATGCAGTGCTGTTTCAGTCACAGAAAACATGCAGGGCAATGACAATAAAAAATACATTTCCTTCTGTCTGTACTCCTTTTTTTTCTCTGATTTACAGTTTTCATGCTGGTGAAATAAGATTGAGTCACTCTAGCTTCAGTGGTTTTTATTTCAGCAGGCCTGAAGCAGAGGCTAAGGATGTTTCTGATAGCTCCCTCTGCCCATAACCTACTTTAATAAAATATTATGAAATCACACACATTTATAATGTCAGAAAAATGAGGAATATTACTTTCCTAAACAGAAGCCACATTATGAAAAAATGGGAGAAATCATTGACATTCTCGCCATTGGAATTTTTCCAGCATTTTTTAATTATTTCTGGATTCCGTCTAGGCCTTTATTAACACTGCGTACCAGTGATTCACTGGAGAGACTAACGGTGGATAAAAAAATGATCTTCTAGCAGCTGTTGTCTGTCAGGGCTGCAGAATTAGCAAGATGACTCCAGTTACACGTTTTCTTCCACCAGTGGAAGAGAACCCCTGTCATTTCTGTGATCAACTGCTATTTCATTTTGATGGCAGAATCCTTGGGTTTTGGTTCATCAGAGCACGTATTGGCTTCATTGATATGTTGATCCAGTGTGTAGTCCTCAGGGATGTATTGTAAGTGTTATTATGGTAGTACCTTTCCTGCTACTATAATTAACAATCTGTCAGCACTGACATTATCAGCTGTTTCCCCCAAGGTTTTATAACCGAGATGAAAAAATTAGCTTCAAGCTGAAATTTATTGTATGAATCTTGACTCTGTGGAGCTGCTTCATTTAAAAACATAAATTTGAATAAGCCCTCTGTATTTTTCCAAAGTGTTAAAGAATTAAAACAAATGAGACCATCTACTTTTTATTAAGTGATAACTCACTGTATTTTTAAAATTATTATTAAATTATTTTGAAATGTTCTTGATTATATTACATTTGTTTTCATCTTGAAATTCAGGGTTGATTTCACCTCTCAGTAGCTGGCAATTCAAAATTAAGATTAATGTTTATCTGTACTCTGGACAACCGAGATATTTCCTTTTACGTCCTCACACTTGCAGCTAGAATGATAGTCTGTATTTTACAGTGCTGTAGGAGAGCTCATTGGTTAAAGCTCGAACATCCATTTTATTTGTATTTAATACAATTTTAATTTCCACACAAGAATAATTTTCTTCTTCTTTTTGTTGAAATAAGGTATCTACTTAAACCAGATTTCATGCGACGACCGGATCGAACGTTTGACCCTTTCTCTGAAACTCCTGTAGATGGTGTAATTGCTGCAACATGTTCTGTACAGGTAAAACAACAATAAACAAACTTCTGTCATCTTATCACATCCAAAATCACATTTAAATGTCAATGGAAACAGGATATCTACAGATGTGTTTGGATTATGTGGATTTTGTCAATTTGCATTGTGGGTTTTTTTTTTTATTGCTGGCTAAGACATCTATGTTTACTTGATCTGAGTTGGTTAGAAACGGTTTGTAAAAATACGTTATCACTGAATTTTAACCCCCCTCATGCTCTTTTTGAATTACATCAAAACTACACTTTGATTCGCACAAATGAATAAATGAAGTTAATTTCTGCAGACAGTATGAAATTATGCAAACATCACTTGTCACCGTAGAGCAAGGAGGAACATGGGCACCCAGGGACAGGATATTTTCAAAATAAGTAGAGAAAAACAGTGAATGTGATGAAGGCCATTACTTTGGAGTTATCCATGAATAACAAAGTCCATAAAACTTCTGTTGTAGTTCTAAAGCATGGGTAGGTATCACGTTTTGGAAGGAGGCTGACAATTGTAAAACCTGTGCTGTGACTTTACTCTCTTTGCTCCAGTACCCTATTTGTAGCTTCACAAAAGACTGAAGCTTTCAGTTACCACGTTCTACGTGCAGAATGGAAGTTTCAAACTCTCCCACCAAGGGCTTGTTGTGCGTTCTAGACATATAACTAAGTTTCATTTGCACCTCCAGAAGAACAAAAACGTTTTATTGATGTTTTTCTTTAATGTTAATGATAGTACAGTCCCTCCAAGACGGAAGTGGGATCTGGTGGTGAGAACATAAGTTTGAGGTATCACTAGAGGTAGTTCTTAGATCACGTATTTTGTCACTTGCTCTTCTTGTGTGACTAAAACTAGTATAAAATTCCGTATAAATTCTGATATAAAGGAGTGGACTGAAGCCGGTGATGGTACCCCTCAGCCCCATAACTTTTCAGATTTGTTATCCAGAGTGTTCCCTGGAAGAATGTTAGATCATGAAAAGAAAAGGACTTGAAATGAGTTTAAATCGTGTTTCAGTGGTTTTTTTCCTTCCTTGATCATAGTAATGAAAACATTAGCTGTATTTTTTAGTAGTAGATCATCTTGATGGAATAAAAATTTTCGCTGGAGTAATCGCCTGCTGTGGCTAGATTAATCTTGACTTGGAGTATGACTTAGAGCCAAATTGCAACAAATCTGCATATACATAACAATATAGAGGACTTGTGTGGGGTTTTTGTTTGTTTGCTTCGTGAGCATTTCCCAGACACATAATACAAAGTTAGACTGACATGTGATTAGTTTAAAACCTTTAAGTGAAAGCAGAGCAATAGCTTCCTTTCACCTCTTTGTAGTCAAGACATAGAATAGATTACTACTTCTGAACAGAAGGTTTAAAGTTGCAGAATAGCAGTGCCAATCTTGGTTGTTTCAATCAGTGTTTTTCAGTAATATTGTGAACGCATCTGTGAGACGTCAGCTAATTGGGCTGACTGACTTACAACTGTTAATGCCATAGCACAATGAGCGCAGTCATTTCCAGTTAAGGATATATTTTAGGTCTTATCACAACAGCTTTTCTGAAGAAGCACAATTTTAGCACTAAATATACCATTTTCATATGATGAAATAAATATATCTGTTCTGTATAAAGCATTTTTCAGACTGCTGTCAATAAAAAAAAGATCAATATTTCCATTATTCATAAAATGCTTTGTGCTTTGTATTGCTTTTCCTTACTGCTCTGTTATTATGTTGCAGGTAATATCTGGTCAGTTCTTATCAGACAAAAAAATCGGTACGTATGTAGAAGTGGATATGTATGGTTTACCCACGGACACGATACGTAAAGAATTTCGAACACGCATGGTGATGAACAATGGTCTGAACCCTGTTTACAATGAAGAATCATTTGTATTCCGAAAGGTAGGATATTTAGAAAGCACAGTTTGTGGTTGCCAGCCCTTTTGCACTTGAGCGTCCTTGCTCACTTGAGCCACCCCTCCCTGCTTCAGTCTGACTGCTCACATGAATAAGTACTGCTCCCATGAAAAAGGGTTTGTAGGGTTCCTGTTTACTACAGTAAACAATCTAAAGCTGAAAGAAGCTTTCAAGAGGTTGTTGGTTTTTGTTTTGGTTTTGTTTTTTTTTTTAATTTTGCTTTGGTTTATTTTTCTAATGGATAACCTCTGTAGCTGTCACATGATTATTTTTTTTTGTTTGTTTCTGTTTGGCTTTTCCCTCCCCTTTGCTTCCTCCTCCCACTTGGAGGTAGCCACCTCCTCCGTGACCATGCCTGTGTTCAAGGTATGCAGTCTGCTCAGAATGAGCCCCCGCTGGTGGAGACCATCATTCCTTGGAGATTTCTTCTTCCCTGCCCTGGCAGTGGCTGCTATCTTGCACTGTTCCTTCAGCCCAGAGGGCAGGTGAGATGCTGCATCCAAAGCTAAGGTCAATGTTATTACATGGAAAAGTCGGAAGGGTGCTGTGTTCCTCAGACGTGTTGCCAGCTCCCTCCTTCAGTAGTCCATGTGCATCATGTACCTTTTTCTTCATTTTTTTTTTTAATAACAAAAGAAAAACAAACCTTTTTTTCTTGGTATGGGGGATTTAAAGAGAGAGATCAGTCATCCATGTTCATTTTTTATCTCTCAGTCTTTATATATATGATACACATATATATATTTATTTTTTTCTGTTGACTGGAGTTTCATCCAGACTACATGTGTTAGCAGTGCCGTCTTTGATAACGTCTGTTTTGCTTACACCTGTTTTGTTGTCATGCAAAATTGTTGCTCTTTTATTCCAAAGTGACAGACTTTGCCAAGTGGTGATAACACTTCACACTTGGGTATATTACACACATAATCTGCTTTTTTAAGAGTATAACCAGTTTTTAATAGAAATGTAGTTAATGCAAAAGAGTTTTTTCTGGACTCAAATATATTCTGGAATGAATGTGACTTCAAGGGCTTTTCTCTGTGTATGAGGAGGCACAGGGAAGATGCTTAGGTACAATGACAGGCAATCATGCTGCCCGTGGCTTTTTTGTCACTGGCCATATGGCCAGCATCTGCTGCTTTCTGATTTCTTAAACCAAAAGGCCCGTAACCTTCAGGATGCGCACGGCTTCAGTCTAAAAGGGGGGTACTTGTGTATCGTGGCATGGGTACAATATTCTTCGGACTTTCTGCTCTACTGCGCAATGAACAATTACATGGTCGCACATTCTTTCGAATAACTCGTACTGTAAGTCAGCCAAGAGATTGTTTTTCTTCCTCTCAGGCCCTTACGGTATCAGGCTTAACATTGCAATCAAGACATACATTGATGACCAAGCTAATGAGTGACATAAACACAGCAGGAACAACTCCTCTACCTGGAGGGAATGAAGGCGTGGGGTGTACAGTGCTAAAAGGTTGTGAGGGTGGAAGTGCCTACCGTCATACCTTAGAACAAATTAGCGGAGGGGGAACGATAAACTTAGTCCCCACTCCTGCTCCCTAGTAAATCTATATCTGAGCCCATCATGTAATGAAAGATGTGCCGATCTGTGGCCTGCAGAGGAGAGATCTTACCTGCCCTTTTTGGGCTGCAATGTTCTCCTCAAGCTGATACTTAATCCTACACAGTTGCTCTCAGGTAACCTGCTTGATTGGTCTTCTGTCATGTTTCTTGTTTTTATTTTCAGTAAAATAAAGCTTCAGTCATTCTAACCCAAGTTCTGTGTTGTCACTCTGTTGTGTAAGGGGGAGGGAGGGTGAGTGCTGGTGGTAACCTTTCCTGGGAGTGCTACGTTATCATCAAGTTGTCGTCAGGTGGAGCAGCATGTCAGTGAATAGCTCCGGTGGGTTCAGAGACTGAAAGCGTACTTTATTTTGTGCCCTCTGAGACTGAAAATGAAAATGGCAGGGAGAAAGGCTAAGGGAGATAGTAGATGCAGTTTTACTTAGGTCTTTCCTTTTGTCCTGTAAGCGTTAATGAATAGAGCCAGGTAGAGAAGGAGTGGGAAGACCTTTTCAAGCTGGCAGAGAGGGTGTCCCTCCCGGTTAGCTGTCTGTACCTCGCTGCTCTGTACACAGAGGCAGCACCTTTGTTCCAGGAAAGGCAGGGAATTTTTTTTGTTACTGTTTCGGTGGTCCAGATGGGGGCTGACAGATGCAGATAGCTGGCAGCATCCCTGCCCACCATGCGTACCATGTACCCTTCATGTCGTGAGCACAGCGCACCCACTTTGCTGGCAGCACGCCATTTCGGCAGGTCTGTCACCCTGTCCTGACCTCCTCTGTCTGCTTCTCCCCTTTGCAGAACCCGTAGTTCAGCGTACATCCCCATCAGCTTGTGCTTGTACTCTTTCCGTTCTTCACTGCCTTTTTGGATACATCCCAAATCCCATCTTTCTGTCATGGTTCCTCCTGATTTGGCACTATCTACCCTTTGATTGCCAGTGTATCTGTCATTTCCCAGGTAGTATTTACCTGCCTTCTTACCGATGCCACTGGTCTTCAGTAATGAAAAAGAAATAACCAAAATATTTAGCCAGTCTAACTGTAAGCTGCAGGATTTGCATATTCTGAAATCTACCTATTATTTAGGGTGAAAAAAAAAAAAGCATTTCTAGGAAAGATTAGTCTTAAAGTGTGCAGTTTGCAGGGAACGACGTTACCTTACAGTGCTAATAGTCTGTTTCTGGCATACAAAGTGAATGGTTCAAACACGGGAGGCGGGGAGGGTGCTACTGTATTAGAGTCATTGAATATCTTCATTTTGTGACTTTCCAGGTTATTCTCCCTGATCTTGCTGTCCTGAGAATAGCAGTGTATGATGACAATAATAAGCTGATCGGTCAGAGGATCCTGCCTCTGGATGGTCTGCAAGCAGGTTACAGACACATTTCCCTTCGGAATGAGGGCAACAAACCACTCTCTCTCCCGACGGTTTTCTGCAACATTGTGCTTAAAACATACGTGCCTGATGGGTTTGGAGGTGAGATAAACCTGTGCTGTAGATTTTGAGGGGTGTTGTGAAAGTACTGAGGTACTGCGGTGTCAGTGTGGCAGCCAGAAGCAAACACGCAATGCTGGAGGATTGGAGAGATTTATTATTTTAACTGCTTGGAAACCCTGCATATTCAAATCAGCTTTCAGACCAAGTGCCTGCCTCGGTGTTAATGACAAGTATCTGTTACATGACAAAATAATATTGGAAATAAGCTAATACTAGTTAATTTGATTTTTCTCTGTTGACATTTAGGAAGATTCTTCTTTTAAATTTTTTTTAATTACAATTTTTTTCTGACACAAATATTTGTAAGGTTAGCATGTACTTTAGCGATATTGTTTGGGCTATAAACAATTCGTGCAGCATCTAGACTGGTTTTTTCAAACAGAATCACTTTTGTATTCTTGAGAATATTGGCGTATTGTTAAAAATGAACAGTGAAATAATTTAGCATCCAAAACCTTTTTGCATTTTTCTCTCCCAATTTTACATGGTTTTAGTGTGGTTTAATTATTTTTGGGTTTTCAGGAAAGTATTTTTTAATGCGAGCCATGTCCATGACCAGGTTGGCAGGGCCATGGTCATTTATACTGAGCGGTGGCAAATTGCCACATGTGGATAGGAACAAACAGCTGAGAACAATCATTACACCACTTAAATCAGTGTAATGGGTAGGTTCACCCTGAGGGTGTTCCTCTGGGAAATGTTTTCTTCACTGCAGATTAAATTCGCTTATACATTAGGCAATATGTAAACGATTTAAAACTGTAAGAGAGAAATTGTGCTAAAAGTTAGTGCTCTGACTCTGCAGCAAAGTGAAGTTCACCTTAGAGTTGATTGGCAAAACGTTATTGATAAAGGTAACGTTTTGCTCTTTGCAAAAAGTATTTCAAACCAGCTCTCTATGCAAAGAATTACTGCTACTTTTCTGAGTGTCGTTTCTGGAGGAGGGGAAGGCTTACTTAACATAATAGATCATGTATCTTCAAGCCTGTTTGCTGGTATTTATCCAGGATTTAAAAAGGCCTGGACTTCAGTAACAATATTTCATGGCAAAAGTGAAGCATTTACAGAAGCATTTGTGGTGTTCCTATGTGAAATCCTGGTTGCTGCAAGTCAGCTGGAGTTTTGCCACAGGTCCTGAAGCACTACCATGCCTTTATGCAGCATGTTTCATCTACAATATTTAACTTCGGGGACTTTGTCTCAAGACAAATGTAAGCTTCTGCTTAAGCTTTTGATTCTCGAGGCAGTAATCGAAATATGAATCTAAGGGACGTGTTTAAGCATGTGCTTTAGTTCTTTCCTGAACTTAGGCTTTTGACAGTAAATGATTCAGTTAAAATATTTTCTAAACTAGGGACTGTCACTGTTTGGAAAAACAGACTCCATATTAACATGAATTGAGTCCAATTATTAGTTCTTCTCTCCTGACATAGTTTTGATGTGTCTCATGTATTTTTCTCATGGCTGTAGAACAGCAGCATGATGAACAACTGGGAAATAACTTTCTATACTCGGGTGGAATCATTAGTATTCTGTTGGCATGTGTTTTTTAATTACTTATCATTTGCAGTGAACCTTTCATTGTTTTATGAGCTATCATTAGGATCTCCATGGTTGTTTTAGCAAACCTGTAGGAAGGTATAGCTCAATTTGATAGCTGCCTACTTTTTTTTTTTTTACTTCTTTTTTTGTAACCTGTATGAGTAAGATTTAGAAACTTGCACCAAATAATTACTAGAATGGATAATGTATTGTAGGCTTTAAAAGATGCATAATTTTATTTTTCAAATAACTTAGTAATTTCTTGTGGTTTATTTGCATCAGCTACTCTGTTCCCAATAAAACACAATACTGACACAAATTTATGCAAATGAAGTAGCATTCTCCAAAGAGAATCTTCTATAATAGAAGTCTGTATGTAAGTAAGCATGGCTACTTAGGTTAGTGGTTAGAGTCCACTGTAATGTACTCTTCCAGTGATTTTCCTAGGTTTAGATTTAATTGTGATTCTTCTACAAAATGCTGTTCCCCCACACACACACACACCTTACCTCACTGAGGGTAAAGAAAAGCGTAAGCAGAGGACAAATGACAATGTGAGAAACAGTGATGAGTCACATCCCCCTTGTAGAAATGCTGAGCCTTTGGAGATGTGCTTCTATGGTTAGTAATACAATTTACAAAGGTCTCGCTCTGCCAAACATGTTAGTCATTTTTACCTTGAAGCTCATGATAATCAGGTTCCATTTTCAAATGACGCATCGTGTTAGCAGGGTAGTCCTGGATTTTCACTGAAGAGTCCATGCTAAGGACAAAAAGACGTGCTTACTAAGTTAGGGAAAAGGGAAACATTCGGTGCTGAGCTGCAAGGCCACTGTTATGGCTGAAAATAAATTTTACATGGTTTTTGTCTATGTGAAGTAAATTTCAGAGGACATGTTGGAGACAACGTATTTGTGTAGATAAATAGAGCTGTCAAGGGTACTGCTATGTACTTAATAGAACCTTTTTTAGAATGGGAGTGCTGTCTGTGCTTTTCTTGCTTGAGAAATGCATCTGGTGACTTCAGAGGAATATTTCATAGAAGAACTTAGGTTGGAAGGGAGATGATATAGTCCAACCCCTACTTTGCACAAGAAGGGTAGCAAATTTCTTCCCAAAGCTTTTGATGGGTCAGATGTTTTTACAGACCTGGTCAGTGGACCAGCTTCTCTGTCTTGCATCATTGTAAGCTAACTTGGAAAATGGCTGAAGAGATGACATGAAATACGGGCAAAATTCAAATGATGATGAACACGAGTGTCAGAACTGTTAGTGCAGAAATAATGGCCTATTATATGCTAGTATATCTAGACAATCTAGAATATCAGGGTACAAAAACATTTGTCTTTTAGTCGGAAGCAGCCAAACCCAGGGCGTTGCAGCCTTCCGCAAAGCAGGAGCTTCCTTGCGGCTGAAGCGCCGTCCAGGGTCCTGCCAACGGTCCTGGCAAAACCCCGGAGTTCCTCAAAGGACAATGTTGTGTAGTGAATGATGAGTCAGTCGGGCTGCAGCGTTCAAACTTCCTTTCGTAAGTTACTGCTCTGACGAGGAAGGTTTATTAACTGAGACCAGCGAGTCTTTTCTCTGTAAGTCTGAAGTTAAAGTTTCAGAGGGATCATCAAAACAGATTAAAAGCTGCGGTCTCTGAATGTATTGTTATTGTAGGTGCTGGATCAGTTCAATTTGTAAAATCATTTCTTGCTGTGTGGAGCGTCTCCTTTGCTGTTTGTGAATTCTTTGACCATTGAAATTAAGCATGGAAAGGGATTATTCAATATGCAGGTGCAGATTCATGTGTCTTTGTCTTCCGGTAAACTATACTTGCACATTTATCACTGGATATGGAAAACAGATTCAATGATCTGTATGGTATCTGGTGCAGGGTAGTGCTGTGATACCACTAATGGTACTGTATCATGTGCAAGATTCAAATATTGGTCATGAGGGTCCACAGAAAAGCCATTTCACAGCCTGTCATGTTCCAGACATGAAGCATCACAAAGGCAAGGGAGAACAGATTTCCCCGATTGCCTTAACCACCCATTTGAAACTACTGTTTAGCTAAAAAATATAACAGCATTTCCTACAATTTCCTGCAGTAGCAAGTCAGTCAGCACCCCCTCGAATAACCAAGAGACAAACTTGTTAGTGCTTTGTGGCTCAGGAGATCCCATTCTGGTCTCAAATTCTAGTATCATCAAGTGGGAGTAAGTTAGGGCAACATCAGTCTGATGGAGTCAGTGGTTTTTCCCTAAATAACACAGCTGGATTAATACCAGTCCCTTGCTGCATTATAAACTGATTCATGTTCTAGCGGGTTCAGGCGTTGTGGCGATGACTGCTTTCAGTCCTGCCAAGTTCACTATGGAAAGTTGGACTATTGTTGCAAGCCTTGGCTCATAACAAGAAGGGTAAAATAAAAGTCTTGTAAAAGATTAATTTCCAAATGCCTCTGAAGATCATAAAAAATTGTTGTGGGGTTTTGGTTTTTTTTCTTTGCAGATATTGTGGATGCTTTATCAGATCCAAAGAAATTTTTGTCTATCACAGAAAAAAGAGCAGACCAAATGAGAGCTATGGGTATCGAAACTGTAAGTAGAACTTAATGACAAACAGCCCATTTATGTTCATGCTGTGCTCTTTTCTAAAGTAAACTGGTCCTTCTCCAATCGATGCATGTTACCTATTATTTCGCATTTTCAAATGTAAGCCTCTTTGTCCTGCTCTGAAATACATTGGCTTATGTTAGTTTAGGTACTGAAATACTATTCACTGACTTTTCATGGATCATACTAACACATCCTTTAGAAGTAGAAATTTTAAGAAACGGGAAGGGAGCCGTAATTTAGTAGGTAGCCATTTAGAGTAGCCTACAAATACTTTACTGAATATAGTGTTGTATGAAAGTATGTTGCAATTTTCTTAATTATGTTTAAAGTAAGCAAGTTCAGAAATTTTCCATAGCCCAACTGTTATACTACAAGTAAACCAACAATTAATTTATTATGATGTGAATGTTTCTTTCAGAGTGATATAGCCGATGTACCAAATGACACTTCAAAGAACGATAGAAAAGGAAAAGCCAATAATGCCAAAGCCAACGTAACGCCTCAGAGTAGCTCTGAACTTCGACCGAGTACCACCGCAGGCTTTGGATCTGGGACCGATGCTAAAAAAGGTAGAAAAAAAAATCCTGTGCCACTCCCTCAGTTCTGAAGTGATTCAGAAAGTCACAGAGAAGTACTCGTTACGCAGTTTTCGTTTTGCAGTTCTATTCATTCTCTCCCTTTTAGAAGGTAACAACTTTTGCTGTTGAGAGTGGTCTTTGTCTAATTGCAAATAAATTTTGTATATTACTAAAATGGCTATATAGAGCCAATACAGCTTTATTTTACTAAGTGGCCTCTTCACATAGCTGTATACCTACTGCCAACAGCAGTAACCTGCATGACTCTGGGAGCAGTTTACTAAAGATCTACTGGAGGAACATCAATAGGAATGACTATTTTCTGGTATACTCCACAGAAACTCTTCTGCTTTTTTTTTTTTTCCTCCCTCCACAAATCCCTTGGCAGAGCTGCAGATTTAAGTAATTAAAGGTATTTAGAATTCAATGGATTCTGTAGAGATTTCCCAACAATTAGAAATGTTTTCAATGTGTGGTTTTACTCTGAATAGTGATTATGGAAATGGCATGTTTGTTGTAAAAGATACCCATATTAAATGCTCATTTATAAGTATGTAATTTTTCCTCACTGTTCACCGTTCACTCTACAAAGTCATCTTACAGAGTCAAATGGGATTATTTATTTCTCACATATCATAGGTAATGAAGATTAAGTGAGAAAACAAATTTGTGCGGCTGAATGAAACACAATAAATGTTTCTGTTAATGGGCCAGAAGAATTAGAATCTGATTCACTCTTTTTCATCCACCTCAGCCCAAAGGGATTGATAGGAGTGAAAAGGAGCACTGACTGCTCTTGTTCTTAAACTTGAGCAGACATGGCTGAATACACACACGTGAAGGGATCTCTTGAGAGACAAAATGCCGTGTCTCTGGAGTCACTTTTTGGCAATAAAACAGGTCATCTCTGGCACCTGAACTCTTTCAAAGTTCTCCCTTGGTGTAAAACCCAGATTATTTTATGCAGTGAGGTGTTTTCATATTTCATCTATCATCACCAAGATACACAAGTATTAGCTTTATCGTGCATTAATTAAGCATGAAATTTTCTGGGGTTGGCAACTAATTCCTGGTTGCCATGGAGTCAGACCTGGTGAACAAAGTACATGAGTCTGTGTTTATAAATAAAATCCTGAGGAAGTTTGTTTAGAACACAGCATGCCGACGCAGCCCTGGTCTTAAACTGAGATTTCAGTCCTTACGCATTCTTGTCTGCAACCATTTTTATCCATGTTCTTGCATGTTAAAGTAGAGCTGTTTATTTTGATGTCCCATGTAACAATCCATTTATATTACTTATCTCTATGATCTTTTAAGATCTGAATCATTCTACCGTTGTTACAATATACAACTCACCTTGCTATTAGAAAGTAGGTATCCAGCAAGATAAGGTGTCTGGGGAAGGCTTTCAGATATACAAGAATGTTGGGGGTTTTGTTCTCTGACTTTCAGGAAGAGTTAAGTGATTTGTGTTTTTGAAAACTTAAGCTTCTATCTGTACCTAAATTTGTTCCGGTCTCATTTACTAGACTAATGTTAATACCGTATAATTGAGCAGAATCTTACGCTTCTAGGAAAATAAAAAAATTGTGTTCCCTAAGGAGATTGCCTACCTTCCTCCCACTCCCCTCCCTTTTTTTTTTTTTCTTTTATAGCACCTGAGTATTTTCCACTTAAATTAATCTTAAAAGGCAAAAAGTTCTTTTCAAGGCAGGGGGAATCTCATAGCCCACAGACTAAGAGCAGTTACCTAAATACGTTTGCAGTGTGTTTATGTACAGGCAAACGTTTTCCTGTAAAAATTCAGAAAAAGACATATGCATTACAATTCTCATGGCATCGTACTGATGTTTTTATTAATGATTACATGCAGGATGTGCTTAGTAGTTTAAAAAGCATCACAATATGTCACAAAACATTTATTAAAGCATAAAGATGAAATGAGATTTGGTTTTGTTTGCAGTGCAGTTCAGGTGATCAAAATATATTTTCATTTATCTAAATAGTACTGTTAGTCTTTATGATAGATTTGCTTGTTGTATTGAATTTTCATTAGAATTTTCACTTACGATTTTGTGTTTCTCCTCCATTTTCAACTCTCCTTTATTCTTGGAGTGTACTGTTGCTCCTTTTCTAATAGCCTGGTATTAACCAAAATGCACATTTTTACCTCCATTGACATACAGGCTGCAAGTAAATTTTCACTCCTACGATTTTTGTGTTTTAAACGGAGGAGAATTAGTATACCTAGCCTCCATTAACCCTTTATGTAGTCATGTAGAAGCTTACCCAAGAAGCCTCCCCCCGAAACGAGTGGTGCCAGAGCAATCTCCAGCTATGGACCAAAATTCTGAAGTTTATGTGGTTCAGTTTTAATGTACATAAACGGGTTGCTGTGTTTTCAGAAAAGGAACTTTTTCAATACTTAGATTGCTATGTTTTGACACTTCAGAATTGTAAGGGAGTAAAATACACTCATTGATTCATTTCTTTCTTCACAAGGCAATTGATTAAGCAGTGCTTTGGCACTTGATTGAGTAGTGATTTGAAAAGGAAATTAACTGTATCTTAGCTATATCTTGATGAATAATTTTCTCATTAACCTGTGACTATTTTTATGTGGTAAAAAACATTAATTAATTGCTAACTTAAATGTAGGTTTCTGCGGTAAAACTCAAATTTAAAAGCATGAGATATCCTAGTATGCATGATGTTTTAGATAAACTGTATCAATACCTTCCTTAGGTATAGACCTTATTCCTCAAGTGAAGATAGAAGATTTAAAGCAAATGAAGGTAAGTATAGGCACAAGCTTTTCAAGATGTGTTCCTAATTATTTGTTTTAATTAGCCAGGATTTTATCTGGTTAGAGTCAATATGACCAGAGAAAAATTGATCCAACTTCTCTTTTTGTAGGCTTATATAAAGCATTTAAAGAAACAGCAGAAAGAGCTGAATGCCTTAAAGAAGAAACATGCCAAGGTATGATCATTAAGACCTCTCTGAGCAACCCGCTCTAACTGAAAACAGTTGCAGCCCTCACTAACAGACAGCTCCTAATTGAATTGTAGGGAAAAACTAAGGAACAGTAGTTGGACCACCAAGAAAGGCATATGTGTTTTAAATGTACTGAAATATGCTCCAGTGAGCACATTTTCCCTTTAGCAACCCTTTGTATGTCTGCCTGAGTTTCGGTGCACATTTGTTTGACCCATCTAAGCATCCAAAGCTCACCTTTTTCAGGTAATGATTTTCTCTAGCTCCTCTCTTGCATGACATATTGACAGGCAGCTTGGAGGAAAAAAAAGGCAGTGGAGATGTGAGAGGGTGCTGCATCGAAGACAGGCACTGGCAAAACTGCAAAATTGCTGAAGAGAACTGGAATGTGTAACTGAAAAATAAAACGCCCTATTCCTCCTCACTTATATCTGTGTTAACCACTTTATAGTCATCTTTTTCCTTGGTCCTGTTGGCAGTGATGTCCCAAATACATACAACACTATCACAAATATATTTTACATTAGAAAAACACAGCCAATTTTCTCGGGCCCTTTATCATTAGAAAACCATTCCTCTTGTTACGGAAAGAGGCATAACAAGTGAAGGAAGTATCTTAAGTTCTGAACTTTGGCAATTCATACAAATCCATTCTGGGCTTTTGGGACGGTTATTCCCTTGCTCTCTTTGATTGCAGGTTTCGTTGCAGATCTGACGTAATGTAGTTTTCTGGGCATTTTTAATATCAGTCTTTGTGTTTATTTTCATGACTGTTGTTTGGGCGTGGGACTCTATGCCTGTACAACGAAGTATGACGAAACTACTTTCAATAATTGGCACTTTTGTGGAGCTCTTAGTATCAAAAGTAGTATAAGAAAATTAAATAGTTGCATTTCAGACTCCTTACTGACTCTGTGCAGAAGGGAAATGAAGGAATTCTCCATTTTAGTGCTGTTGTTCAAAGCCTGTGCTCAAGAGAAACTGTGTCATCCACACTTGTGGGCATGGGACACTTTCTAGACCTTCATAAGGTTGATCTTTTAGGGAGCTTTTTAGTTTCTTATTCATTGGACAACACCCAGCAGCTTGGTAGAGCAGCTTTTTGCAAATGACAATGGTACCATGGTTACATAAACCCCGGCCGTACTCAATGATCTATGGTCCCGATATCTGTGACCCGCAGTAGTGTACGGATATCTTAGCCAAGACTGCGCTTGCTAATGTTAAAAAATTGATCCATCTGTTCAGGCTTGCACTTGCTTCTTCTAATCTGAGGAAAAAAAATTACCAGCCGCAATCTGAAAGTGCTGTGCACTCAGAAGGGCTTTCAGCATGAGCTCAAGCACAGCTATTTTAGGTCTGAGCCAGCCCGTGTCCTGCTGGTCTTAAGTACCGAGTGCAAGTCTGTCCTAACAAGAAAGTGCCTGTCTAGAGCATGCCTTGCTGAAGGCTTCAGTGAGGGCAGCTTCTTGAATTTGGAGAGGAGAGGCCGAGTAGAGAAGTGTGGCCGTGTTAGCTCACAGATGATCTTAGGGAAGTGCTTGGTGTACTCATCGCTGGTTTGAATGCGTTTTATTAGCTGCGATGGAGTAGGAGAGCCGTGCAGTTAGTTATCCACGATCAGCTTGAGGAAGCCTCTGTATTAAGCAGACTGACCTTAAAAGTTCCAGAAATAGGTTGGCTCTCATTTAACCATAGACACTCCAGAGATCTGGAGAAGTAAACAGAAGGGAATTGTTCATGTTGTTTGAGGAAAGAAAAGTCTAATACTTTTCCATCTAAAGTTGGCCTCGGAAAGTGTGTTATGGAAAATGAATGCACGCAAGTGTGGAAGAGCGAGCAGGGTGAGAGGAAGGAGCTCTGACCTAAGCGATGTAGAAGCTAACCTGGTAGTCCTGGGCAGAGCTAGCTAAGGAAGACGACAGCAGTACTGACAGCATCGACTCAGTGTAGAGAAGTATTAGCGTATGTGGGCTGGGACAGGGAGGGACAAAAATGAGTAAGCGCCCTGTCTAGAAATGAGTGAGCTTTCTTAAGAGTCCTCACATTCACAGAGGGAATTTGGAAGAAACATCACTTCTAAAGAAACGACTGTCAGCATTATCTTCTTGCCTGAGAATATTGAGGTGCCAGAAGAATCGGTGGGATCTGAGAAGCTGGTACCAGAAAGGGCAGGCCCCTGGGATTCTGTCTGCGTGACAGATTTCATCACGGTCACGTTCCGTCACTTCAAAGTAGATTAGCAGCTGCTATGAGGAGTTTGAAAGTGTTACCCATGTATGGATTGTGTTCTTTTATATTGTCTGTAATACTGCCATTATTCAGGGGACAGTAAGGCAGTAGCGGCAAGATCTTCAAAAGTACAGAAAGCAACAAAGATATTCTATCCTTCATGGGTCTGTTTAAAATCCAGGCCAATCCAGGCAAAATGTACCTTTTTGATGCCAGGAGACAGGGCTGCCAACAAGCAAACCAGAATATTGTTGTAGCGGCACTTATTTTGCGAGCTATCCACCTCTGATGCTGTAGTTTTCCTTTTGTTTGACTTTGAAAAACAATGGCAAATTAATGTGATCATCACCATTTTTTAAAAAAATGTTATGTTAGGAGTATCTTTCTCTTGAATCTTAGGTCTGGTAACATGTGCTTGTGGTCATTTTAAACTAATATGTCCAGCCACTTGTGCATATTGCAGTAATGTTTGTCTTTAAACAATGCATTCATAAAAACACCTGCACTGGGCAGTTTTTGAAATAAAGTATTTCCTGCCTACGTTCCCGTACGTAACTTTAATCTCCCAGTATGAATGTTACTGTGCAGCTGCAGAGTGGCTGATGTGTCTGAATGTTGTCTGTTGGTTTATATTTTCTTCTTTTCTTTTTTTAATCGAGTTAGATCTCGAGTACTGTTTAGGGAAATGCTCTGGGGTGGCACGGCAGGTAGATGGGCTACAAAGACAAGGAGGTGTGCATGTATGAGTCTCAGTCACTGATTTCATTTCTTAGCAGCCTGCTTCTATGGGCCCCGACTGAAGTTTAGTGTTTTGCAGGGCTGTCACGTAGTTTTTGTGTTTCTTGGGTTAGAAGAGGAAGGATAGTGAGGGATTATCTTGATATATTCTCTAACAGTCAGCAGCACAACAGATGATTGTGGTATATAGTTCTAGCGGTTTCAGACAAAACAGTGATACTCACAAATGCCTCCTTCAGGAATTTAATATGGCCAGAGACAGTAACCAGAATGGCGTAATTACCACCCAAAAATATAAATCCCAGAATTCATCTCCTGCACATTTATATTGACATCAAATATATGTACTGTTTGAAATAAAGCCTAATAAAAAAAGGAACATTAAAAAAATCTCCGTTTCAAAATGCAAAAGCGACAGTACAAAAGACTATGGGACTCTAGATTAATAAAGTTCTGCAAAATGGATTGTTGATTTGGAAATTACAGTTTCTTCTTTTTTTTTTATTTCCTCATTTTTGTATTCTGTAATGAGGATCCTCTAGACTTCAGTTTTCAGTTGTACACAGGAATGTTTGTGTTGCTTTAGGGAGATACCAGGCAAGAATAAGAGTTTGTATGATAGGAGCTTACTTCCTCTTCAATAGACTGAACTGTGTTAGCACTTCATCTTTTATAGCAAGGATTGTATTGTTCTGTTCTTCTAGGGCAGAGTGGGTACTTTGAGAGATGCTCTCAGCCACTTCACCTGTGGCTGCCTGGTGCTTGTCAAGCTTACGGCGTTCTTTTCACTGCCCGTATTTTTTCCTACCTGGTTAGTCAGTGTAAATACTCCCTGGTGAAGCTGGCATGTTTTAATGTTGACAGAGTCTATTTGTTTCCCTTTAAATCCTCTGTAGAACAGAAAATTCAGTTCCCCACTCTAAATAGAAAATTTGGAAGCAGTGCGCGTTCCCCGGGGAAGTGCTTGGCAGATGTCGGAGCGCTTGGTTACAGCCCAGGGCTAGATTTTTAAAAGCATCACAACGTTTATATTCAAGTTTTGGTAAAAGTGAATGTAAAAGTCTTTAATTAGTATTTTTAGAGGAAAAAACAGTGATAAGGCAAACACAGGTGTATAGAAAATAATAACAAAGAGCAGTAGAATAGTGAGGGTAGAATAAAGGCAAAATGAGCTATAAAACAAAATAGAGATAAAGTCCTGGAAGAGGCCATATTAATTAATGCAAGGCTTTTTGTCACGATTAGATAAAATGTGGATGGAAATTAATAATGTAATTTAACAAACAACAATTTTTCCTATTGCAATGTAAATTTAATATTTAGTGCTCTCTGTGGTAGTTAAATATTTGCATCATTATGAGCAGCTGTTCTGATAAAGGAGAATATGAATTCAAGTTCAATAATGAAGTCTACATCTAAGCACTAAGTAAGTGAAGCGTGTCATTTCTGGTGCAGTCCTGTAATGGAAAGGAACCGTCTGTATGGTAGACCCAAGTGTGTCAGATGAAGTAATGATTCATCTTTTCGGCATAGGAACAGTTTTTTCCTCCCCTTCCATAGACAACCTCCTCTGCCACTTCACCAATGTAAGCCACGTAACTGTAGCAGTGACAACAGGTTAGCATTGGTGTCTCATACTCCCCAGGTAGCCCTGTACGCCCAGTGTATCAGCACGTGCTGTATTGTTTGGGGGGGGGAAAGCGGGACAATGGTTATTTGCAGTTACGTGTAGCTGGAAGTCGCGTTGCACAGCTTACTACCACTTGCAAAAGTGCAACAAAGTGGAAATTCTTAATGATAAGGTTGCTGCCGTCATTGGTGGTCACGGTGCAGATCTTCAGAATGTCTGTTGTTAATGATTTGGGGTTTAGCTCATGTTTGGACTTGGAGCTATTTGATTTGCAGGGGCCAAGGGGCCAGCACTGTATTCAGTATGAGATATGTAGAGGAGGGGGGGACTGGACTGGGTTTTATTCTCCTCTGCATTCAGAAACTTTGAATGATATGATCTGAGCTTGTAAATCTGTTTTTTTTTTACATTGCACTTAAATGGACATTTATTCAAATAGATGAAGTCTTTACCCATCATTCTTTTGTTTTAAGCTATACCATATTTTTAAGGTCCACTACAGATTTTCATTTTTCAAACAAAGAAGAAATGTTTTAGTGCTTATGGTGGAATATCTGGAACCTTTAACACCAGATGGCTAAACTAGATTAAATTCCGTTGTCAAAGTTATCTGTGCACTGATATTTTTACACTGTAAGAAAACTAAGCATTAAAAATCCAGCAACCTAATTGTAAGGTCCTACTGTTTTCCAGGAGCACAGCGCTATGCAGAAGTTGCACTGCACACAAATTGACAAAATAGTGGCACAGTATGATAAAGAAAAGGTATCATACGAGAAAATGTTAGAGAAGGCAGTCAAGAAGAAGGGGTAAGATATTATTTTAATTATTTTTTAGACTTAAAGTTTTTATGCTTTTGTGGTCTGGAATAAAACATTCATAAAAAGGTCATTCAGATGGATGAATTGCAGCTGGAACCAGCATCATAAATCAGACTGAGCGTGAGCTGCTTGCGGGCTCTAGCAATGGGCCATAAGTGTTGTACTCACTTTGCCTTTCTCTAGTGATCTACTATCTGAGTTTTAAAAGTAAAAGCAAAGGAGTTGCCTCAGATTTTTATTTCTGTAGTCTGATCTAGTCCCACTTTATTCCCCAGGGAACGTCACTATTGTGTTCAGTGAGAGCGGACTGATGTCCTCAGTAGCTCTAACGACCAGAAAGTAGCAATGATTTGATTTCAGGGAAAAAGCTGGCTGCTAAATCCTGAACATTTTAGAATAGTAGAGTTTTGCCTTGCTGTCAAGTTGAAGTTTCTTTTTTAACAATAAAGCCTTCAGATCCTCAGCTGGGATAAATCAGTATTACTCCTTTGACTTGAGCTAAGCTGTTTTGGTTTGCAGTAGCTGATGGCCTGGGACATTATCTGTGTGAATCTCTCAGTTGTCCCCAAAAAGTTCCTGGTGACTTTAATAAAATGTCCCCCTCTCAGTCCCATTCAGAATTGTGTAGCAGGACTTGCTGTTGCCTTGCTGCCATCGTGTAATCTGGTGGCAATTTCTCCTCTCCACCTTTCACGCTATGACTGGCATTTCATTGAGACATAGCGGTTTATACTATAATACCGTGACCTAAAGCAGGAATTACTTTATTTAGTTCTGTATCAAGCTATGCCAATAATTAGCCAATGATTTCATATTGTTGTCATCTGGCAACAACAACTCGCAACCAGCTCGCTGAATATTGAACATAGATGCCTCTTTGGCATTGGATTCTTCCACGAATACTTTTCGGTTTATAATTTATTTGGAATGGCAGTGGGGTTTGAGTGTGCATGTTATAAACTTGCAACAGAACAGAAATCGAAATGTCAGAAGTAAACAAGGCGAGGAGAATTCTCCTCACTAAATTATTAAAAGCTCACAAACTCTTTAAAAAGCTCATGTTTTGGTTTTATGTCCAAGAACAGAGAACTGTAAGCACCCAAATACTTCTCATCGAAGTAGTTCCTTCCAGAAAATCACTACTTCTCCAAACAGAGAAGGAACAACTACAGGACTATTTAATTTAACGTGGTTTTGATTCAATTTCCATTGAATATAACACAGCAGAAGGTTATTGATATAGCTGGATTTATAGTTACAGTCAGGGTATTTACTACAGTGGTAGTGAACTAAGCCCTGGACATTGCACCAGAATTATTGTGGAGGGAGAAAGGCTTCCCCGTGCTCTGGTATTGAAGAATCTTGTATCAGAAGAGGAATGAATCAGTATTCCTGCGGCCTGAGAAGAAGCCGGTGCCTCTGCCTGTCTAGGCAAAGCAGCAAGCGAAGGTGTGTCAGGCAGTTAAAGGTGGTAACGGCTGTCTCTGTGCAGGAAATAACGGAAAGCGCTGGGTAACAGTGCTTTCCAGAGTAACCCCAAACGGCACAAATAATTTGATTCCCAGTTTGAGATCACTTCATTGTCTACTTACAGCGTCTTTTCTTAATTTTGTAACAGTTCTCTTATAGATGCTAAAGCCTTTGTGATAGTTTTAAATTATCATAAAAGGTTTAAAAAAAAAAAAAAGTTTGGAAATGACTACTCCAGAAGCAGATTCAATACACAGCCAAACACTGTTCCTTGCTGTGACTCCGTGCTTTCCATGGACTCCCGAGCTCTCAGTCATCTGATGGCTCTTCAGTGTTACGAGAATAACTATTGGTATCTAATTAACAGTGAAATCCAATCCAGTATCAGCACAGACTTTCTGCGAAAACCCTGCTTTAATTCTGTAACAAAGTGTTTTAAGGGTTTCCTTGGGGATCGTTGTGTATGCAGCCCTGAAAGCCCACAGCCAGGTGCTTATGCACAGCCTTCACCCCAGCTGTGCAGTATGTTTAAGGACATGCTTAAATGTGAACATACTGGTTGAGACTTAAAGACTTTATTGACCTGAAATGATCTGATGAATAAGGGGTCCTGGGATCAGTGAGTACAGGACGTGCTCCATTTCCTTGGCTATCATTTTGGAACTTTTAGAAGCAATGAAAGTGGTAAAAGAACACGCAAAATGTGTTTTCAAGGCATTCATATTGAAATTGTCAGATACTTCCTGAAAAGAAAAAGGCTTTTTGATAGGTGTATAGAAGGCTTTCTCTTCTGATTTTGTTGTGCAGTTTTTCGTGGTCCATTTCTGCCACATGGTGTGACAAATGTCAACTGCATATTGTTCAGCAAAGTAGAATTTTTTAATCACATCCTAATTCACTGACAGATGGACAGGATTTTGCTCCCTATGCTATTTCTGTTGTACACTTCAAATGCTTACAAATCTCAGAGAGGCTTATAGGAATATGAATGCTCGTGTTCCCACTCTGAAATGGAGTTGAGGACACATAAAGATCCTTCTGATTTATCAAGACTGTCCAGAAATTCAAGTGTATGTGTGTGCATGAGCATGGACTTGTGACATTGGGTTGGGCTGTCCCTGGGTATTTGTTCCCAACCGTGACTCGATGGTTTAACCACAGACTGTGTCACTGCAGTTGGGGACAATTCTCATTACGTCCAGCCTGGCTGGAAGTTGCCTTGAGATATAATAAAGCTGCATTTCCAGAGAAGTGATCAACTGGTGGTTTTCATGTCTGGGATTTTGAAAAGTCCAGCGACTGAACCAATTAGACTAATTTGGGATAAAATATGTTTGATTCACCTAAGCAGCAGTCTCTTTCACAGTGTATGACAAATCATATATCGATTTATAGCCAGACTCTGATCCCAGCTACCCACATGCCTAATCAAAGACCCTTTCTTTCCAGCTGTTTGGTTTTGTTTTGTTTTTTTCCAGGCAGAGATAACAGTGGTCAGAACCTGTCCCTATGCCTTTATATCACTTCCAAAGTGTCAAATGAGTGTTAGAAATATTTACAGAGATTTCCTTGCTATGACTAGAAATTAAATGACTAGTCCTTCTGGTGGCCCTTGGGAACACAAGGCACATCACACTACTGCTTTCAGTGAGGGCTTTCGTGGTACTGTTTGATGATAAAATTTTCTGCTAATTTCCCTAAGTTTAGCAGTACTTTGATATTAAAATAGGATTTAAACTTGTTAAGAGTTTCATAAATCTCCTTTTCTAGAGCAAACATGGATTAATGTTGCTGCAGTCAAGCAGTAACCATTCTTATTAGGCCCAGTTTCAGATGATAAAATGAATGTGGCTCCATCCACTCAGTGGAGTTACGCCATTTTACATCAGAGGATGATCCAACACAGAACTATTACACTGATGTTAAAATAGACTCCTCTGAATATACTGTATTATTCAAAAAAAAACCCCAGAGACTTCCAAAGTGTGAGTTTGTATTCTGTTGTAAAAGTGCTTCACTGCAAAGAAGGGAGCTAGAAGATTGGTGAAGATGGAGCTTGTCAGCCTTCAAAAATTTATTGACTTGGGTGAGACAGTAATTGAAATTGCTGTTGTAGCTGCAATGGAATAGTTTTTCTGTACATCTGTCCCACGCAGCGTGTGGCCCAAGTAATTGGGCTTAGAGAAGGAAATTCTGTGGGTGAGAGAGAGGTCATCCATCTCCTAACCCACAGGCACGTCAGGGGAGCTTCAGCATGGGCCCTCTGCAGGCATTTTACCAGCCCATTCCTTAGAATCACGCGCTCTTCGGGCATTAAACAAGTTTTGCAACTTGCATTCAACCCCATTAACTTTCCCCAAGCACAAAGGCCATGCCGTATTCAGCTTACTGCAGGAGTGAGGGCTGGCTTCAAGATTTGTTGCTTTCCGAGTCATGTAAGGTGCCCGATGGCTTGGATTCGTCCACGTGGGTTGGTGTGGTCTGCAAGGGTAATGTGGCCCCCTTCTTTGCAACCCATCCACTTCTGTTTTCTCAGAGAGGGGAACTTCCACTTTCAATAGGTGTTCAAATTTAGTATGCCCAAATTGCTCTGTGAGGTAGTTATTCAAATGACTTCTTTTTTCTCTGCCTCAAACTAAAAATAAGTAGCAAAAATTTCTTTTAAACTAGAGGATAAAGTCATGGCAAGGCAACGCATATGCCTGTAAGTGTTTAGGCAGACACTGGTTTTTCTTGGCAAGGTATTTTAAGCCTGGAAAAGGAACCAAGTACCATAAATGGAGATGCTTGACACATCCTCAGCAACTCAGTAATTGCTGGGCCAGTCTAGAATTAATCGTGTGGTGTTTGAATTGAATGATCTACTAATCCAACAATATTTTGTAAGTTGTGAATAAATTGCCAGAAGAAATAATTTCATTCCAATACGCTACAGCACTTCAACTTTGATTAACATTTTAATTAGTAAGAGCTGACTGAATGGGAAGATGTTTAACTTGTGGCACACATTTGCAATTTTCCTTTTTTTAGAGGAAGCAATTGTCTTGAATTGAAGAAAGAAACGGAAATTAAAATTCAGACGCTAACATCAGATCACAAATCTAAGGTAAGCAAACAGCCAATTTTAACACATGCAACATCTGAAAGAGAGATTTTGAGACCCAAGCGGTAGTTATTTTTCTTGGAAGCATATGAATGATTTTCAGCAATAATAATATGTTGACAAGAATGGAATTAATCGAGTGTCTAAAAGTGTTTCTTAAAAAAAATTTTAAAAAGCAACGTCAATTTCCTGCCCTTTGAAAATTATTGAAGAAAGGGCCATATTCATGCCTCGTGAAGCTAAACTGGTCATTTGTGTCAGTTCTAGCTAAACAAAGAGACGAATATATTCTGTGTGAAATTTGGATGCTAAATACTGTCTCAAAATACATACATAAAGAAGTTTCTTTTTCATTTTCCCTCATTGTCAACATGAATAACACTTGCTAGTCTGTCTCTTAGGGAATGAGGTTTCCAAGTTGCTCTTGAACCAAGTGCCTTCTCATTTCTAATATTTTTTTTTCTCCATTGCTTTGTTGCGTTGTTTTCTCCAAGGTGCTGGAGAATAAAAGTGCTCTGAAACTCAACCTCAGTTCATTTGAAAACGCTGTTCTTAAGCTGCGATTCGTGGTTCACATTGAGTCGTTAAAGCTGCTTCCTCTATACTTCTATTCCACTATTATGCTCACCAACTTCATATTTCCTTTGAAAGTTTTATCTGCCACCTTGTTGATATGGTTTCCGGTTTCTGAAAGATACCCAAACTGGAGGGTGGCAGGTACGCTAGAAGACCCATCCATGTACAGAATGATCTGGAGGGAGAGGAGTCCCAGGGGCTGACCGCAGTACGGGACAGTTACTGTAAAAGCTGAAACCTGGGAAAAGAATCAGACAAGTATAGAAAATACAAACAAAAGCGGCCACATCGTTGAGACTAGAATAAGGTCATTTCCGTCTTTTCTTCGCCTAATTTTATTCTTTGGCATCATTATTTCATGTGGAGAAGATCCTGGCTTTCTAAACAAGGTTTCTTTCTTGTTGCTGTCTGCTCAGCCAAAGATGTAGGAAAATGCCCAGGAATCAAACCTAGTGTACTGTCTTATCTCCCTATCTCCTTGTCCTATGAAAAGTCCAGAACTGTTTCCTTAAATAAAAGTAAATTTGTTGATAACTTATTAGAAAGATCATTCATTCATTTCTTAGTGAAATAAACTCTCTGAGGAGCACTAGCTCCCTGTCATCCGGACGTAAGCTCCAAAACTCATTTGAAGGTAGATTGTGTAGAAAATTCTTTGCTGTGATCTCTGCTTCTCCCCACAGTCTGGAGTTGAGAGGTGTGATTTGTACACAAGGGACATGCAAGTCTTCATTAATCTTCCAAATCCAATAAATGTGACTCATGTTTTCCCTTTCCACAAATGTATGCAGTTTCTGAGCTCTGTTCCTTTTAAAATCCTACTTTCAAACCGGTTCCCTTCAATTTAATCCATACCTGGAAAAGAGATTGATTTTTGTCCACTCCCGTGTCAGGTTTTAGGATGTCATTTTCAAAGGAGACTTAAATGTAAGCTCCTTTGAAATGCCAAGCCTCTGTGCGTTGGATAATTCCTGAAGAACTCCTCTGCAAGTCATCTACTTCTGTGGTTTTCTCTAGGTCAGTGATTTTCAGTATCTTGCTCACTGTGGTTCCATCACAATCGTCCAGATTACGTACCGATTGTACTATTCTCACAGACTTCTTTTGTTTTGATTGCCATGCGTGGGCCCTTGAATTATTCCTGGAGATCATTCAAAGGTTTGCAAGCAGCAGGTTGGAAAACAGTGCTCAAGACCATAGGGAAATTAACTTTCCTCCTAGATGGAGGTAGGTGCAATTAAATTAGATTAAATTCTGGGATGCTGAATGCATTACACTGATATAGTGGGAGTTTGATTAATTAACAGTTGTTCAGCATTTCTCAGCATTTGGCCCACCAATTTTGATATCAGATTGTACCATAATTCAGCTTTAATTACAGCTCACATCCTCCAGTGCAGCTCTGTGTCATAATGTGCCTGTGCACCTTTAGCACCAAAGAGACCTTTTCATCTACGAAAGTCTTCCTGTCATGAGGAAACATCCAGCCCAAGTTTGGCATAAAATATTTAAATTAGATCCGAATGTCCCAGTGTGTACTTCACACACAATTAACCTAGCAGATGCAAATTACTCCCCTGCATTAGAAAAGTAGGTCCCAATATCAAGCAGGCAGAGGATGAAAAGAAAAAAAGGAAAGATTACTTCAAAGATTATTCCTGCTTGAACTTAGTGACTAAACAAACATCTTGCATATATGCCTTGCAAAAGTAAGTTCCTTATCACGATTTTAATTAGTCTCTTAGGCCCAGCGTAGGAACAGATGAAAGGACAGGATTGCAAACACGGTCTGTAGAACAGGAAAGCAAGAAGCTAGCTAATGGTTATTTTTCTTATCCTTTTGGGTAAGCAACGCTGCCTTAATAGGGGAAAGTAGGACAAGAGCACAGCCCAGTGCAAATGAAATAGTTATTTTAACTATGATGCTAATAACTTGGAGAAAAGCAGGGATGTACGCTGAATTTACTACATCTGGACTTTGAACTGTATCACAGATCTGCAGCAAAATTGGATATCAGATGATTTAATGGTCATGGGTTCTAAGGTCATCAGAATCTGAGTCAAACTGGGTATTTCAAGTCTTGTAACTGGTGTTTGGCAAATCCCTTACATCCTCCTCCTCAGGTTATATCTTGCTCTACCTGAAATGAGACTTCTAGCTTGCAGGATATTTCAGAAAAGAAATCTTCCATTTCTCTCCCACCCCTAGAGAAAACCTTGTTTTACGAGGAGCTGTACCTGCTGCTTCGACTGCGTGCTGATTTTGAAATCAGTAGCACATCATTAGCACATCTGTCCATGAACTCAGGCAGGTTTTTTATGATTCTTACTTCCGATCTTCTCAGATTAAATACTTAAAGTACCGCCATGCTTAAGTCTCCTTGCAGATTTCTTCTTTGGGAGTTGGAATCGATGGTCCTTATGGGTCCCTTCCACCTCGAGATATTCTGTGATTCTCTGCTATCAGCGTATCTGAGATACAGGATTCCTGTCTTCCTGTTCCTCTGTAGTGTGTAACATTAACCATTTAAAAACAGTGAGCACGTTATTCATTTCAAAGGCGCCATTAAGTCTTTGTTTCTCTGCATTTGTTTGGGCTTTGTAAACGCTCTTTGCAGTTAAGTCATAAATTCTTGCTTTCATCGTGGCTTCCACTGTTTATACACTTGTTTCACTATTTTATTAAGTCACAATTCTTTTTTTTTATGCAAAGATTGTTTTGCATTTCCTCTGCAGCCTAAGGAGGCTTTAAATAAAAGCAAACTCTTTTCTTGTTTACTGGAATGCTTGCCTGTCCTTTTGGGGCAATGTAGAACACTCTTATCTCATATGATATCATCTCCTCCACTTTCTAATACTTCAAATTAGCCTGAAATCCAGTCCTAAAACTGGCAGACTGTATGGAAGAGTGGCACAGCAGCAAGCGGTGGAGGAGAATGCTTGGTCAGCTCTGTCACAGTTCCCACTACAGTTTTACTGATGTTTGAAAGGTGGGAAAGCCCAGTCAAAGCATTCTCGGCAGGAAGGGAATTTGAATCATAAATCTGCGTCAGGAACCGGGTGTGGGCTCCTGTACCAAAATGCGTGGTACACAGGCGTGATTTGCTGCTGGCTCTGCCTGCTTCCTGGGTCACATAATGACACTTGTCCTTTTTAAAAATTAATATTGTCTAACATGGTGACCATAGAAGTTTTCTGAGTATGTGGTCCCTCTTCTGCTGTGGTCCCAGTTACACCCACTTACTCAGGACTTTGGATCTACCTGTACCTTTTTTCTCCAAATTGTGGATGGAGCTGACTCCATCTGCATTGAAAATAAATACATAAGGAATGGGTTTTCCCGAGAACTTCAGCCATGACTTACTTTTAGCTCCCCTGAAGTCCACTCTAGCTCTCCCTGGGGGTTGATAAGCCAAGTGGGGTCACTGTTGAGAAGAGATGCAGCCTAACTGAAGCATCTAGTTGCTGTAGATACGAGAGAGGCATCTCCAGGCAGTGTTTCAGTGTGATAAATCCTGCTTTGAGGCTGCTCACCTTTTTGGATCAGCAATACAAGGAGCTTGGACTAAACTTGGTCTTAACTTCAGTGCCTTAGGTGGGTGCCAGAGGTGAGCTGGAGTGTCTGCCCCTCAACCTTCCAAAGACTCCATCTGAAAAGCGAGCATCTCTTCCTTACCAACACCAAGCATTTATTCCGACCCATTTTAAAACCGAATCCTTGTGTTTTTCTGGCTCCGAAGGCAGTACTGCTTTATGAACATCTTATTAAAGATACTACTCCCACTAACTGTTCCACATCCTTCAGTGTATTTATCACTTCAGAGTTGATAGGCTCTGGCTCAGTAGTACGCTTACCCACATGCACAAAAATAAGCATGGCTCATTTTGCTGGAGGTACACTCACTCTTAAACACCCTGATAAATTAGACCTATACTAGTCGTCCTGCCTCAAAATGCTTATGTGTTTTTTCTGACCGCTGCAGAAGACTCCAGGTAGCTCTCTATCAGCTGCTTCTGCCTCCAATCCTATCTGTTTTGATATGGGACCACTATTTAACTATAGTTAAATGCAAGTCTGGCTTTCAGGTAGTGGTAGTCACCCTGATCTGTTACAAAATTACTTGAATTACTTGCTTTTTTTGCTTTTTTTTTTCTTCATTAGGAGTCCAGCTTTATTATACAACATGAGCTTTGTGTAGGAGGGCCTTCAGAGGAGCCTCTCCAGGGCAGAATGGAGACGGGGGTGTTAAGGTCCCCTCTTCTCTCACCATCATCAGCGTGTGTAGGAGAGTCTGTTCCGCACTGTGCAGAGCCCACACGTGGGCCCACACCTCAAATACTGGCATCGGCCTCTCGCTTTCTGAGCAACATGGTGGCAATTTTTGATTTGAACAATAAGATTTACCTTTCATGGAAGATGACCCAGATGCTATTAGTTACCATAGTAGCAGCTGAAATGACTCCCTGAAAACAGGTTTATTGAGGCATATTTTGTAGACCATTTATGGAAAAGTAGGATAGCTTGGCAAAATACCCAAAGATAATTATTAAAGGATAAGAAAATATAGCTTTCTATTAGCTTCTTTTCTAAATCATTGAGTGCAATATATTCTTACAATAACAGCTCTGGTGATTTAGGCTTCTTCGTATTGTCTCTTGGGAACTTTCCAAAACTTTAATCTCATTATTCTTGTGAGTCTTGGGAGATAAGCAAGAGAAGAATACTTGTCAGAATCCCTGCTGACTTAATGAATATAAAACAAAGATACGTAGCCCATCAGGTTGTATTAAATACAGGATTTGTCTGTAAACCGACTGTGTTTGTAAAAGTGTCTCCACAAAATCAAGGACTGTATTTAAGCCCTCAGAGAAATCCTGCTCGCTAGGTTTTTTCCATTGTTAATTTCAGTACTTTCTAATATATATTTTTTTCTTGGCAACCAAAACCGTGAAACCGTTTTATTATGAACTCAATGTTAGAGAAGGTTTTAAAATAAGAGTAGTACAGTCGAGAGCATAAATGCAGCCAAATTATTCAGGGCACTTTAGATAATAGAGTCCTAATAGTCGAGGTTGGTTTACATCTGGTTTTGTAATATACTGTAGTGTCCTCAGTGGCTTTGTTACCCTGGGAAGCAACTTCTTTTGTCTAACTTCATGTTTCACAATTTAGCTACATTCTTTATAATCTTTTTTTATGATTGTCTTTACATCATCTTCAGCAGTAGTAACAGTTGGTCTCCTAACCTAGCTGAGAACCTCTAGCAAAGCTGCTGTTACTTCTCTACAGGTCAAAGAGATTGTGGCGCAGCACACTAAAGAGTGGTCTGAGATGATCAATACGCACAGTGCCGAAGAGCAAGAAATCCGTGATTTACACTTGAACCAACAGTGTGAACTACTGAAGAAACTGCTGATTAATGCTCATGAACAACAAACCCAGCAGCTAAAATTTTCCCATGACAGGTGAGCGGGGCAGTGCTTCCTGGTAACAAAGGTTGGGTTATGTCTGCTTTGTATAATGTTTGAGTTTCTTGTGTTGATAGCTCCTGTACTGCTGTCAAAGATACCGCATGCATGGTAAAAGAAACGATCAGACCAGGTTTAGGTAGATGCAGGAATGGGCTTCTTAGCTGGTTTAGATTATCTGAACTTCATTAAAGGCAGCGGATGTGATGAAGTGCTGGTAGGTTGCATCAACTGTGGATGCTTAGACTTCACCCAGGAACTTCAATTCAGAGGCTGGAAGGTGAGAAGTATCAAATATGGAAATACCCTTTGGAGCTGCTAGCAGTTGCAGATGCAAGTGTTTATAGCATTGGTGATTATAAGAAAGATCTATGAAAAGTAAGATCATAAAAACAACGGGTAGCGGGATAAGCTACATTAAACTGACCTATCTATATACACTATCCTGTTGTAATCACTGGGAAGACAGAAGATATTGCGTGACACTACTGTCTTGTTGCTTTTGTAATTAACCATCCTGCCCATTTGAAATTAAATAAAATGAAATACACATTGTATCCACAGTGTTAAAAATGGCAGTAAGTAGAAGAATCATTTTTTTATGCTGCGATCATCTATTATGCAAAGCAGCCTAAAAGCACGTGAATGCAAAATGTGTGTGTACACACATATATATTCATACATATATATATATATATATGTAATTGTCTTCAGCAACTTTCACATAAAAAGCATGGGGGAAAAAGGAATAAATAAATCGCATTTGAAGAAGGAATTGAAATGATTTTTTAAATTCCTGAGTGAAAAAACAGCTTATCTTTGCATCAGAGAGAACACATGCTGGGACCTGCAAGCTTTCCATCCAACAGAGAATTGTCCCAGCACAAGGCTTTTAGTGAGCTCATCTTCATGTTAATCTCTGTGTTAACCCATATATTCAAGCTGTCCTGCAATAAATACCCAGTCAAAAATGAAGTTCAAAAATTGTTAAATTATCATGCAAATGCATCATTCAAAAGATACTAGCTAGAGGAAGGTGCAGACCTTGGCACTGTATCTCTAAATCGTACCTGACTGCATCAGCCTGGAGAAATCCCATCACTTTGTTTTTAAGAATCCTGTTTTCCGTCCTATTTGAAATTCACTACAATGCTTAGAAGCGAATTTACTAATGTATAGCCTGCTTGTGGAATAAGACTTCCCCCCCCCCCCATCTTTTTGAAAGTAAGTTTTGTTTTCTTTTCTGTACGTATCTTACTCTCCTAACTAACGGCTGTCATTGTAGGCAGCTCTTATATCTACACTAGGACAAGGTTTGGTTTGGGTTTTTTTAAGCTTTTTTCTCATAGTTTTTGTCTTTGGGTTTAGAATTCCTGTATCTCTACATTGTTTAAACAGCCCTATATTGTTTCTTGTAAATGGTTCTTACATTCTTATTAATGGATCTTGCTCTCTTATTAGAAATCATTTGTCTTTAGTCCATGTATTGTTCTATTTTCAGAGCTACTAAGAACCAGACCCCAAAATCTACATCCTGATAAATCCTGACAACTTTTTTTTCTCAGCTGTCCTAGGAGTAATAACCTTTAAAATTTGGCTTTATTCATTGCGATGAGTGTGTTTCTGCTTATTTGGGAATTTGTGTGTAACCCTCAAATATGCAGACTGGAGACTTTCCTGTTTAAAGCAAATTTCAGACTGTGTCTGAATCTATGAATATTTCAGAAGAATTTGAAATGTGAAATATTGGAAAGTGAATAATAATGCCCCAAAGAGACTTAATTTGTAAACTTTTTAATAGAATATATTGTGTGTAGGAATATATATGCATTTATCTGTATAGGTGTCTGTAATAGCTGAGAGACAACTCGGGTAACGATAAGAAAAAAAGGATCTATCTGAGAGCAGCGTGGGAGGTGGAGCGTGCTCTCAGCATGCTGTTCTTGCCACTTCCCCCTCTGTGAGCTGAGGAAATGAGTTCGCTATCACAACAGAGGACACAGGGGTACCAGGAAAGATCAGTAATCTAAAATGATGTAGTTATCTGCTGTAGGGTAGATACTTTCCCTCCGCGTGCAGTACAAAAAGCAATTACAGTTTGTGCTTTGAGCTCATTTAACAACAAAGCAGAAGACAGCAGATACTACTAAAAAATCTGAAGCTTATTGAACTCCAGGGGTGCCGTGCCCCCTGCCTCCCCAGACTGGGTTAGCTTGACTGACTGGGACGTTGCTTGCAGCATTTCAGAAATTGGGGACGTGAAGCTGTTATTCGCAAGCGTTACGTGCTCCAGATAAAATAACATGAGAGAGAAAGAAAAATTGCGTGGTCTTGTTGGATTTTATAATAAAAAAAAAGAGATTTTTAGTCATTCAAACAATACTGGTGACATGAAATGAAATGCTAATGCGCTTTAATGTCATCTAAATATATGTAAAAATTCCAAGGACGGACTTACATGCTTGAAGTTAAGTATCCCTGTAAAAGACACGTTTGGATACATTTCAGAGTTGCAGTCAGTATGGTACAGTAGGCGATCAGCAGGTAAATCTTGCAGTTCGTGGGGCGTGTTTTGCAGAATCCTTTTTTCTGTACCCTCCTGGCTTACCTACTTCTTCCAGTTCACCCTGGCTACAGGTGTCAGCACCGCTTGGGAGCGGGAGGCTGTTCCGTAACGGTGGCGTGGCGCTGCCAGCCGGGGCAGCGCGGGCTAAACTGGAGGCTCAACGTAGAGCCCCGTGCCCGGCGCTTGAGCAGCGACCTGACACTAGAACTTTGGCCCCGTCTTTGAGAAGCGCTGGTTTGGACTCAAGGAGTGGGCCCTACAAGTGCTTCTTGGTGATTTTTGAAAAGAAGATAAGATTTTTCATTTTGTCTGTTAATGCCTTTTATTTATTGCAAGCGCTGAAAACCCACCACGCGCAAAAAGACCTAGCAGCAGCGCAACTCAGAGCTAGAGTATAGTTCGCACAATAAGGAAACAGTTGCATATGGATGCGTTGGCTCTTCCAGCCGTATCCGTGGCCAAAGTCTCAGTTTGAAATCATCAGTGATGCGCAGTAGCCCTCTAATCCTCTTCACCTCTTTCACTCTAAAATGATATCTGATGCAAATAAGCGAAATCAGTTTGAATACCTACACTTAGCTTTTTTCATATCCTTGAGCACAGTAATAAAAATGAATTATTTCAGGACTGCTCTTAAGAGAGCGTGCTTGAAAATTACTTCCAATTCAGTACAGAAAATAAAAGTTTTTATTTGGAGAAGGGACTGTTGGAATGAAATGTGTTCTCGACACAACATTTTTTACAACCCAGTCTAATTTCTGCTGTGATACCACTGCTTTTAAATCTGTATTCAGGAAATGTTTCACCTTCTGAATTCTTCTGTGCACACAAAATACTTAGAAGTCGGAGTTACTAGGTGCAATAATTGTTTAGCGCTCTACTTAAGATCATGTCCAGAAAAAGAGACGAAGGCGCTGCCGTGGCTTGCGACGGGTAACTTTGAGCTGCTTAGCACTACCGGGGACTTTACAATCTGTTATTCGCTGCCCAATTTCCATGTATAATTCCTGTTTAAGTAAGCACTTAAGATCAGGAGCTGCAAGAGCTGGAATGCTAAGCAGGCAGAAAGCAAGAGCTAGCCTTCAGGGACAGCCTTTTTGGAGCTTGGCTGGCTTGTGTGTGACAAAAAGCCTTCTGCTCGCTCACGGTTCATAAGCCATTGCTGAAAGTCAGCGCCTATGCTGTTACTCCCAACAAAGAATCATGATCTCTTTCTTTTTACAACAGCAGGATATTTATTTACTTATTTTCTGGTTTTCTACTCCGCTAGCTGAAATTACATCGCTTCACAGAGAAGGCTACGAGGTTCACAAGGCCAGAAGGAGAAACCAAACCCAGATCTGACCATGGTCTAAACCATGAGGCTCTTTTCAGGCCCCAAGTACGAGTCTTAAAAGGACGTCTGTCAGCTCGTACCACAACTAGCAAATATGATTACTGTTTATATCGCAGTCATGTTCTGAGGGCAGGACTTGTAAATTTACTACACAATTTTAAAAGACAAATTACATTTTCTAAATGGCTGATGGTAGCACATACTCAGACAACTCTTATATAGTAGGGAGAAAAGTGAGGCTTTGATACCCTTTTATAACATTCAAAGTGTAAAAATGCTTAAAACCGATCCTTCAGATTATATTCTCTGGAACAAATGGAGATTTCTGAATGCTTGCTCGGATTGTATTAAAGTCTACCCAGAGGAAGGCAATTTTCCTATGGTTTGTTCTTTCTTCTTCCTTAATGCCTCGAGGACAAAATTAACCATGGCGTAGAGTAATACCAGGAAACCAACCTCAACAACAGTTGCATTTTAGGCATTGATGACTTTGTTTGGTTTTGCCTAGGGAAAGCAAGGAAATGCGTGCCAACCAGGCCAAAATATCTATGGAGAACAGCAAAGCCATAAGCCAGGACAAATCTATCAAAAATAAAGCTGAAAGAGAGAGGTAAGTATCAGCTCTCCCCTCTGGAGAAGGGAAGAATGCTGTCAAAGCCTGATACGTGACCTCGTGCATTAATTCTATTAAAATCGTGCTTTTATTTACAGAAACAATGTCTAATGATTGTGCTGGATATATTTTAGATTGCCATTTTAGGAAAAATGTTGCTTTTCTTGTATCTAGCCTTTTAATACATGTAATGCCTTGATCAGGGAAATAATAAGGTCCTTAACTTTATACTCATCAGCTGTGACTGACTGCTGTAGGTCTAATCACGCTATTAAATTGAAACACATCTGTAAGGCTTTTAATGATTGTACTTAAAATGCGTTATATTTTTTGCTGTTGCTTTTGAAGTGAAATGAGGGCTATGCTGAAAAGGGAGTCTGAGCTTTGGTTCTAGCTGGAGTTAGAGTAACTGGAGAGGCAACCCCACTACAAAGACAGGAGGTGATGCCAGTGAAAGGCTTTCTCCCTCATCTGCTGATAACACGGAGGAGAGGTGGAACAGAAGGAGGGAGTGCTAGAAGTGATGATAATCAGCGGAGAGGGTGATGGAAGGTAGGAGTGAAGCAGCAGGAGATACACGGTACAACAGCACACGTGTTGCTTCTCCACTCTGAACTGAAGTGCAGCTCTCTCCCGTTATGACCTGGCCGGCGTCCGGGCTGAGCAAACCAAGGGCACTGCTGCACCGGCACACCTGGGTTGTTCACAGCGCCCGTGGGGATGACAGCCTTAAGTGACTCGAGGGACTAGAGAGACACTTGCCAGGACCAGCTACTGAGACTTTTTGGAGGATTGATCTGCATTATGGCTATTTTAAGTTTTTTCTATTTATCCTAAAAGTTTCCAACTAAATAGATAAAAGCAGCATCTGCACAATGATGTCTCACAAGCCTTCAGGGTTTCCTCTTCGCTTTGGGCTTGCCATCTGGCTCATTCTTTCCTCTTTTACATTGGTCAAAAGGCTCGTACTTGTTCTTGCTGAACTTAAGTCCCTTGAGTGTTACAGACTCCTAGCTCATCAGGAAGACGAGTTGTTGGAGCCCTTGGTAACTGGATGCTTAGTTAATGTAAGACCTCCGCTAATGACTCGGAGATAAATCTGTTCTCAGATTTGAAAGCAGGCTGAACGCATTTCAGGCTTTGCAATTAGTCTGCTTCAGTTCTTTGAACTATTTTTGGTATATTTCATGGTGGAAATCTTAGGAAGAAACACTTTGCAGTTAGGTATTTTATGTAAATATTAATTGTGGGCTTATCTTTTTGCGTAAGTAACAGCTTTAAGAACCTTAAAGCATTAGTAAGCTGTAACTTTACTTATGATCATCAGATGATATTTCTATTACCATTGTTAAGAAATGTAGCACTTTTTATATACCAAAATAAATGGAGCTCAGAGTGCAGTAAGGGGTACACAAACGAATAAACATTTTTTTTAAAGTTCTGTCCACCAGTCTTGAGTAAGGGAAAAAGCAGACTTCATTCACAATGGTTATGGTCTGGTTTTTTTGTCAGGTCTTCAACGGTACTGTCAATGTACTTGGAAACTTTTAAGCGTACAGGTGCATAGCCAAAGGAGTGTACAATTTGCCATTAGTCCCCCATGGTACAGATCATCAGAAACCAAAATACACCTTACGAGTTTGTGATTCTCTCTGTTGTTGCTTTGGGGTTTCTTTTTTTCCAATGAGTCTTCACAGAGAACATTTGCATTATTATTTTTTTTTAGGCGAGTCAGAGAACTGAACAGCAGCAACACAAAAAAGTTCCTGGAAGAGAGAAAAAGGGTAACTATAACCTTGACAAAGTCACTGGGCACTATTTCTGGACATTCATTTTCGTTTCTCTGTGTTGAGAATCCAGCTCTAGTAAACAAACAGATGTTTGTCCTTGCTTTGTTCTGCATACTTGTAGTGTAAAAGATCTAACATCTATATAGGAGGAAGCTATTTTAAATGAATAAAATTACTATTCATTGTTGTGTATTTGCTACTTTTATGTAATATATATAATATAAATATATT